TGATGTCTGCGTACTCGTTTCTGTTGTTAACGATCACTCCTAAATATACTAAGTGACATATAAATCCGAACACCCAGTTTAAATGGTTTTATTTTAATAAAATTTTGTATAAGTACTTAATGAAGCATAATAAGTAAATGATAAAAATTTCAAAATGATTGCACTGCTGTTAAGCCCTTTGACCTTTAATAATGTGTGGATGCACCCTGATGTGCTACGCAATCTCCAACGCGCCTAGGTATGCTTCTGATCAGGTGGTCAATGTCCTCCTGTGGTATCTCATTCCAGGCAACCACCAACTCCTCTCGAAGTGCTTCTAGAGTCTGAGGAGGACGTTGCAAATTGAGCAATCTCCTACCCATCATATCCCACACGTGCTCAATTTGGGATAAGTCGGGAGATCTTGGTGGCCATGGTAACAATGTGACATCATTATGTTGAAAGAAGTCTATTGTGACTCTTGCAACATGTGGTCGGGCATTATCTTGTTGGAAAGTTGGATCTGCCAGGGTGTCAAGATAGGGTAAAAGATGGGGTTCTAGAACTTCGTTACCTCTGATGAAAATAGCACCCCAAACCATAACTCCAACAGTATGATGAACATGTCTTTCAACAAAAAACTGTGGATTCCTCCTTTCACCACGTCGCCTTCTAACCCTGGCACGACCATCGTGCATGCCTAAACAAAATCGAGACTCGTCACTAAAGACAATGCTGTTCCATTCCTGATCCCAGAGTGGCCGTTGTCTGCACCACTCAAGGCGATTACGTCGGTGTTCTCGAGTTAAAGGGAGGACCCAGTGTGGCCGGTATGAAAACAAGCCAAAACTTCTCATTCGTCGGTAAACACTTCGCATGCCAATAGATCTTCCGTGTTCTGCAAACCATTCATTTGCAATGGACCTGGTAGTGGAGAAACGGTCCCTTAAGGCCAATAATCTTAGGCGGCGATCTTCACGGTCTGTTGTTCTACGGCGGCGTCCAGTGCCCCTTGCTCTTTGCGTACGGCCTTCTCGAAGCCATGCCTGACAACACCTAACCACAGTGTCTACACTTCTTTGCACTCTAACTGCAATTGCCCGAAAAGAAAGTCCAGCTTCCCGAAGTCCCACTATCAAACTCACTAAGTTGACGAAATCGTACAGGTCTCCGTACTCTAGGCATCGTAACCGATCGTGAAGGATGTCAAGAACCAAAATCCGCCAACGTTGATTCTTTACTGCGGCTGAAATATTCATTTTTAGAGCGTTAGTGAATTAAAAAAAAGCAGTATAAAAACCGGAATGTCCAACTGATAAGGCTGAAAATTTTTCACTTGTTATTTACAGTAAGATAAATACATTCACCAACTTTTATTAAAATAAAACCATTTAAACTGGGTGTTCGGATTTATATGTCACTTAGTATAAATGACATTATCTGCCTACTACTATTCGTTATTATTCGTCCGAGCGGTCCGGTGGATCTTTGCTCTTATTTAAAAGTCTCGTCGGTCTGTTAGTCAGTCAGGTCTGGCTACCCAGATACCAAACATGTTTAAGGGGAAAAGGGAAAGAAGGAAAGAAAGAAAGGAAGAAATAGAAGAAAGAAAAATAAGTAAATCATTTGAAATAGCTTAAGCATTAGTGCTTGGACTACTCGAATTATTTTCTAGAAAAGATTTCTATAGTTTTAGTAGCCAAAATGGAAAACCCTTTTGGATGAGCTTCTACAAGAGGCCCATGTGCCACACCTTGTTAAATGCCACTGATACATCAAAAAGCAAGATACCAGCACTTTTGTTCAGGGTGAACCACCTGGTTACATGCTCCACCAGTCTAACTGCCTGTAGCTCCGTACTATGCTCAGACCGAACGCCGAATTGCACGTCAGGAATCAAATGGTGATCTGACGAGGAATTCTCAAGGTAACGATGAATCACCTTTTCAGCGAGCTTAGAAGGAGCTGACAGCAGACTAATGAGACGGTAATCCTGGGGGAATATCGAACATGCCTTCTTTGGGATCATGATGACTTCAGCGATCTTCCACGCATTAGGAAAGTAATGGGTTCTGAGCATTGCATTGATTATTGCCACCAGAAAAGTCAAAGCCTTGAGCGAAAGCAACTTCAGTGCTTTATTGGTGATTTGATCCTCTCCAGGTGTTTTACACACCTTTAGATCCTTGGAGCTCTGCTGGTGTGCAAAAGGGAATCTCAGATGATTCCCTTGATGTGCTATGCTGAAATTCATCTGCAGAGTCTTCCGTAGAAGAATCTTCTGGAACGGAGTCACCGATGTTAGCATTGATGTTGATATCACCGTTCGCTCTGAAATATCTCCTGACAGGTCTTACAATTTGTCGTTCCTCGTCAAGGTCATTCCATGACGTCAGCAAAAACTTCCACGTTATCCTCAGTCCTAAAAACTATGCATCCAGGACCATGAGTATGCGGTAGTTGTTCTTGCCTTCCGTTTCTAAGAGATTTTGCCACTTTCCAGAGAGGAATCCTTGATTCAAGCATCCCCTCCAGAAAGTCGCTCCACCGCTCATTGCGGAATTCATGGAGTGCATTTCTCACTTCATGGACGAGATGCTTCGCTCTACGAATGTCGTCAGGATGAGATATTATCTGCCTTTTTGAATCTAAATGACTTACCGGTAATACAGTTATTTGTTACTAGGTCTTCATCATCTGCCTCGGTACCACTCCTCATTACTACGTACGTCGTTTTCTCTTCGTTAATTTCTAGCCATCTTCTGGCAGCATTTACTAATAATTTTAATCAATTTATTCCAGTTGAACAAATACATGGCATAGGAAACGTCGATGCACACTCAAAGAATAGTATACATGTAACTTTACAGAAAAGTAATGTAGTATATGATGACTACCAGCTACCTCAGAACACAAACATTGCAGTAGATGCCTAACAGCTCACTTTAAATATTCCAGATATTCTGACTGTAGAAAGTCTTACTACTTTTTGAACACGCCTATATCATTAATATCTTTAATATAATTTTCTAGTTTACTGAACTGTTTTAAGCGGAGATAGTTGGGACTTTTTTCATATGTGCGGGGTATTATTATGCGTGTTATGGGTCTGAAAATCTGAAATTTACTGGAAAGTTATATAAATTTGATTTTACGTGCATTAATAGTTCTTTCATCATAATATTTGGAACTGTCATTTTATTATACTCCTTCAAAAGTTCTTTGCACGATGCATGCTATGCTCTTTTCGGCAATATAAGTACCCCCTGCATATTGATGGATGTACCCCAAAAATAATGCCAATAATAATCTCCTAAATAGCCTTCAAATTCTTTTTTGTTCGTGTTATAAGAACTAGATCGTTGGAACATGCTGAATAATGATGTGTTAGATCATCGATCCTTCCCTGTCTGTGTATGTTACTCTCACTTACCACATTCTCTAGCACAAAATTATAAAGTGAGGTCTACGACTACTAGTATTTATTTTTATTCACTCTCATTTTGAGATTTTGTTTCTCAGGCACACGTCTTTATTCTCGTTGATTCACCTTACAGCGAGTATTTATGTATTTTTTCAGGAAAAATTATTTAATTAGTTAACTGATAAAATGTGTCTTAAAAATAATTCTAACATATTTCTAATTCGATGCAACTGTCTTGGAAATACTCGTACCGTATGTGTGAATCATGTTTAAGAGAAAAGTAATATGTTTACAAGAGGATTAGCCTATAAAATTTGTGATTCCATAATTAGTAGCTTTCGCACATTGTTCTGTTGCACATCTGTATGTAAGCGTACCTTGTATAATGGCCAACCGCGATCCTTTGAGCAGTTCAGATTTTTGCTTAATCGCCCTGCGTCTGCCCGCTGGGCCTGATATGGCCAGACTACATTTCTCGGATTCAGTTCAGACTTTCAATAAGTTTTAATAGAAATGGCGGCCGAGGAATAAAGAATGGAACGTAAATATTTTTTCGTTTTGTGTTTTGCGATGTTCGCATTCGCAATGCATTAAGTGAGACTCTCCACCTTTATATCTTTGGAATGATGGATACAGGTTGATCTGGTTTCGTGTGATTTTAAACATGGTGATCAGAGAATAAGTTGGAAGACAACACAGATACATATATCACATTGACTACGAGCCCCTTCCCGCTTCTGTTGGCCCAACTATTGAAATCTTAGTTTTTTCTTATCAAACACAAATAATAAAAATTTAGCAGGGTGTTATAGTTTTAAAATATTAACAATGAATATTTTGATAATATATAGTAGAAAACACCAACTTTATCACTCCCTAATCAAATTTGCAGCATAAAAATAACACATGTTGCAATTACAGCATATCAACCTATTTTCATTTCAATGCAAAATAAGTCTATAACGCATACCTGGCTGTGAAAAATAAAAGCCTTGACAATTGTTTTTATTAATCACAGCTGTCAGAATACGTTTAAATTAGTGAGAAAATTCGGTTACCGTCGATTGGGGTGACATTGATCTCAAGGGGCGAGTTTGATCACCAGATCATTTTCTCATAGATTTGAATTTAGCGCCAGAACTAGAGAACCATTCACAGCGAAAGCTATTGTGTTCGTCAGAGGAAACATAGCTGGAGATACGGTACGCGCATAAGCTAGCGGTGCCGCTTATTTCATGTAAAAAGTCAGTGTTTTTGAAGGTGTCGGTTTTGGCTCATAGAATAACTATCTGAAAATTTGCCAGGTAAGTTAAAATGCTGATGTGTATTTTTGTTTGCGTCATACTATGCATGTTTGTTGATATTTTGAGGTTATGGTGTAGTCGAGCGGGAATGAACAGTGGCGTGCTTTTCATAATATTGAGATATTTTATGGTTGGGGTCAGATTGTTCGCATAGACGGGGCGAGATTGATCAATTTTCAGTGATCAATCACACCATATCTAAAAATATGAGTACATTTTTTTGTATTGTTAATAAAATTATGATTGGATTCAGCTATAATTTTATTGTTTCTTCCAGTTGATGAATCCTAATCATGCCGAGGAATTATAAAAGAAGACTTGGATCACTCCGTTACGTGGATTATGCCCCAGAGATCCTAGAAGCTGCTCTCAAAAAGATGGTAGAAGATGGATGGTCCCTCCGTCAAGCATCGGCTGCACATAATATCCCTTTTGGTACCCTTCGGAATAAGTATATGGGAATCAGAACTCTAAAATCTGAAGGTCAAACAGTTTTTTCAAATGCGGAAGAGCTTGCCTTCGTAAAAACAGTAACTATCTGTTCAGATTGGGGATTCCCACTTACGCTTACTGATTTGCGCTATATAGCTAAAAGCTATCTGGATAGTCAGGGTCGCAATATTGGAAAGTTTAGAGCAAACATGCCTGGAACAGATTGGGCTCGTTCTTTCTTACAACGACTTAAGAAAGATATTCGCCAAAAAGTTGCATCGAACATCAAGAGAGCTCGGGCCAATGTTTCAAGGGAAGATATAGTCCATTATTTTGAAAATTTGAGTGAAACATTAAAGGACATCCCAGCTTGTAATATATTCAACTATGATGAAACAAATGTGCAGGATGATCCCGGAAAACAAAAAATGCTGTTTCGGCGCGGCACAAAGTACCCTGAAAGGATATGCAACTTTACCAAAACTGCTACTACCATAATGATGTGCGGGTCGGCTTCTGGTGTGCTGCTTCCACCATACGTTATTTATAAGGCTGAGAAAATGTGGAAGCAGTGGATTGAGCTCGGTCCCAAGGGCGAGCCTTGCTGCAACAATAGATGCTGCAGTGTCGGCTCGCGATATAATCGGACCCAACATAGATGGATGGACGCTCAAACGTTTACAGATTGGTTTGAATCATCTTTCCTTCCTCATGCAAAATCTCTTCCTGGTCGGAAAGTGTTAATTGGAGACCTGTCTTCCCATTTCACAGAAAGCGTTTTAAGACAGTGTAGAGAAAACGATGTCGCTTTCGTTTGCCTCCCAAAGTGTTCGACCAATCTCACTCCATTAGCCAGCCATTAGATGTCGGATTTTATCGTCCTTTTAAGATAGCTTGGAGGTCTTCCCTAACAAAATGGAAGAACACTCATCTTCATCAATCTACTCTGGATAAAAAGGATTTTCCCAGTCTATTAGCTTCTACTCTTGTAGAAACGAACCAAAAACATAACAATGCTATAAAGGAAGACTTGATAAGTTCATTTCGTGCAACTGGTATAGCTCCTCTGGATGCTGAACGGGTTCTGCGAAAAATTCCAAGCCAAACTACTGATACGAATACTGAAGATGCGCTGGGCAACGTTATTGTCAAAAGCTGTCTGTAGACTCTGGGAAAAGTGTTGTTCCAAACGAAGAATCGAGTGACTCGGAAACAAACGACGATCCTCATACTAATGATAGCTCCAGTGAAAACTCATTAGATACCATCGCCGAACCGGAAACCGAATACTTTGAACTAAGACAAAGAGATATATTTCCAGGCAAATTTCTTCTAGTTAAAGTATGTGGTGGATCAAGAAAAAAATCGATATATTGCCGTTGTGCAAAATGTGACCGAGAATCAAAATGTTCGAGAATTCGAGGTGTTGGGATTAACGTCTATAGATGGATCTAAAAATAAGTTTAAAGCTCAAGATGGCGACGAATTTATAGTGGATTTTCCAGACATAGTAGCTGTGTTGCCGGATCCTGTCATCGAAAATTCAGATGGCCTTATCACCTATCGTTTTGATAATATGATAGATATATTCGAAATGTAGTTTTTCTTTTTTATATTCTACCTCAACTGTTAGGATACTTATTTAAGTTACTTGTATTAGTTATAGATATGGGTAAGCACCTAATTCAATATGTGAAAATAGTTTTTTGTGAGTTACCTGGAAAAATAAATGTAGCTTATTATCCAAATAGGTGTTTTCAGCAATTATTTATTGGTATATGTAGAGTAAAATAAAGTTGATCAATCTCACCCATAGTGAACAATCTCACCCCACCTACATTAAAATGCTGTAGTTCTGTAACCAGTAGAAATATAATAACCAGAGTTGAGATCGTTCATTTAGGAGCCTGTACGCTCATTTTGCACGCGATTAATACTACGTGAACAATCTCGCCCCAAAACACGTATGAGATTGATCAGCCCTTTTTGAATTCGTTATGGTCATAGTTTCAAACATTGGGGTTCTGTGCACCTACTGTGCGATTCTTGCTCATAATATGTAACAGATTCAATCATCATAGCCAAATAAAATTGTGACATAACAAAAAGTATGCGAATAATCTGAATATTTTGATCAATTTAACCCCAAATGACGGTACTGATAATTAAACTTTTTAATTCTGGGAAATCAAACTCAGAAATTGCAACTTTGTTAGAATTATCGCGGTACAGTGTGAGAAATATTGTTAGAAGATATAACGTAACTGGTTCAGTTAATATTAAGCCACGATATGTGAAAAAAAGTAATATCACAGATGCCGACCGAAGAGCATTAAGAAGAATAATCGTGAAAAACAGGCGTACCAATTATTTACAATTAAGTGCTCTGTAGAGTGACGCTGTTGGAAGGAGAATTTCGAGATCCACAACTCATACAGAGGCTCACAAACTGGGATTTAGCACTTGCAAGGTAAGTTTTCTCATAAAAAAAGTCAAGTAAATACCCTAAAGTTGCACAACTTGTTTATAGACCAAAGAAAAGCCACTATTAACTCCACTGCAAAACAAAAATCGGCTTAGATGGGCTAAAGAACATAGACAATGGACACCTCAACAATGGTGTGCAATACAATGGAGTGATGAGGCCCGATTCGAAGTTTGTGTGGGTGACAGTCGCAGTAGAGTTATTCGCAAAAAAATGAAGCATTCCATGTTGTTGACTGTCAGAAGAGAAAAGTGGAATTTCCAGCATCCATTATGGTCTGGGGCAGTATGTCATCAAAAGGAGTAGGAAAACTTCATTTTATTGATGGAAATGTGGATACAAACAAATATTTGGCAATTTTAGAAGAATCGCTTTTACCAGTGATGGAAGAATGTTTGACATCCGGCCAAGATTTTGTGTTTCAGCAAGATGGTGCAGTGCGCCATACCTCAAAAACGGCTATAAAATGGATGGAAGAAAATAATGTACCACTTTTGAAATGGGTTTCTAGCAGTCCCGATCTGTCACCTATTGAAACTTTGTGGCACGAGATGAAAAAGGTACTACGACAACATCCTGCTCGTACAATCACCGAACTGAGACAAAAGCTTCAAGAAAAATGGGATTGTTTTACACCAAATTTTTGCCAAAACTTGGTTAACACTATGCCCCAAAGAATATCAGACATAATAAAAAATTAAGGTGATGTTACCCAATGGTAATCTTTCAATTGTTGCTTTGTTAACTTCGCGCATTTATTCTCACATTGTTTATTTGTTCAGATGTTCTATTAGTTATAGGTCTCAGTGATTTCAAATATGAATTTTTTACGAATAGAATAGAATGTATCTAAAATGTTTTTGAGAAAATAAATTGTTTTAAAAGTAAATAGTTTCGTCATGTTTAGTTTATAACGGCATATTTTGGTACAAATCTTGAAGTGTGCCAACTGAAGTGGAAAGGGGCTCGTAGAGCTAGCCTTATTGGTTTCTATCATTGTGTTGATATCTGGTAGCGTCACATTCTTGGCTTGAGCGTAAACGCTCCTTCTCAACAACAGTATGGCGTTTGTCGTACTTTTCGAGAAAGAGTTGGGATGATGTCGTTAGGTCCACCGCTTCAAATATAGGATAATCAACATAAATCACTGATTTTATAGGGCTATTATAATGCCGGAGATGATGATAATGGTAATATTCGTAGTACAAGCGTCGTAATCAAGGCATCTAGGAACTAGCTAATAGAAATTTGTTGCTCACTGATGATACTTTGATTGGGTATACTTATGCGTGATGACATGTGTATTTACTGTGCCGTAATAGTCATTCCAGTGAGACCTGTATCATTCTCGTCCACTATTAGTGTCCGGTTTATATCTTGAGCGTGTATTATTTTGTAATGAATTTTGGTGAAGGAATAGCTTAACATAATTAGACTCTCTGCCCTTTATTTAACGTAATCTACAAGCTCCGTACCGCTGAGACTTAATGACTTTGTCCACGATGCCAGGATCATACTTTAGTCATGTACCAAAATGTAAGAGACTACCAAACCACACCGCACACCACTGCGCTCATCGATCAGTTAAAGTAGTTAGTTAGTTTTTGAAAATTGATCCAGTGACAGTGACCTACGGGACAAAAAACGAAATCGCTCAAACTTCGAATGGCGTTTCATAGTCTCCTGACTATTTTCAGAAAAATCTACCTAAAAGTTAAAAATGGGGGTTGGGGATTGTAATATTTATACGCTCCCAGCCTTAGTTATTCTACGCACCTATTAGAGGTATTTCATCATTGGTGTCCTTAAAACTTAGGAGGATAAGTGCTTTCGATACGCGACCCTGCTTCTGTTCTCTGGGTTCACCGTCGGACGTGCCGACCTTAAACGTGTTCTGATATTACTGCCGCTGCGCGCGGCCACGTTGCATCTAACGCTTCTTGCGATCAGGTATCAAGGAGATGCGACGTTGCCAGATGAGTACTGCCAGTAGGACAAGTAAAGAATATCTATGGTCTAATTATATGGGCCTGTTTGATTGACTTGATCCGTTTAATTTCTCTGCAATTCATGTTCGTAGCTAACTTTTCTCTCAGATGGCTTTACATTATGGAGAGAGAGAGAGAGTCAACCTACTTGACGTCATTTTTTATATAGTTTTTTAGCTGCAGTTAGTTGAAGAAGTGATAATTGATATCATATTTTGGAAGGAAGTTAAAATAAACAACCATATGTACACGAACCTCGTACTTGTTACGGACTTGAAAATCTACTTCTCGCAAATTCCAGAAGTTGATATACGAGGGATGTCTTTTTAGTTTTGCATATGGAAATGAAACAACACGGTAGGTAGTTTTAAATGACTTTATTGTTTTTTGAAGTATTCTTCACGAAGATTAATACACATCTGCATGCGCTCGAACCAATTTTCGAAGCACTTATGCCACTCGTTTTCTGGCAGATCCAAAACGGCATTTTTGAATGCGTCAACTGCTTCTTCTCGTGACTGGAACCAGTGACCACGCAGTCTGTTTTTAATTTTCGGGCAAAGTAAAGAAATCGTTAGGACTTAGATCGGGACTATATGGAGGATGGTCCAATAATTCCACGTTTTCTTCCGTTAGATACTGCCTTGTTTTTTGGGCTGTGTGCGGCATTGGAGTATGATGCTTCTTTCGGGGTTGATTTTTCGAAGCTCAGTGATGACTTTTGGCAAACAAAAACCCTTCGAGAACGCATAGAAATTTGTTGCTCACTGATGATACTTTGATTGGGTATACTTATGCATGATGACATGTGTATTTACTGTGCCGTAATAGTCATTCCAGTGAGACCTGTATCATTCTCATCTACTATTAGTGTCCGGTTTATATCTTGAGCATGTATTATTTTGTAATGAATTTTGGTGAAGGAATAGCTTAACATAATTAGACTCTCTGCCCTTTATTTAACGTAATCTACAAGCTCCGTACCGCTGAGACTTAATAACTTTGTTCACGATGCCAGGATCATACTTTAGTCATGTACCAAAATGTAAGAGACTACCAAACCACACCGCACACCACTGCGCTCATCGATCAGTTAAAGTAGTTAGTTAGTTTTTGAAAATTGATCCAGTGACAGTGAGCTACGAGACAAAAAACGAAATCGCTCAAACTTCGTATGGGGTTTCATAGTCTCCTGATTATTTTCAGAAAAATCTTCCAAAAAGTTAAAAATTGGGGGTTGGGGATTGTAATATTTTGTTGTTAGTGTATTTATACGCTCCCAGCGTTGGTTATTCTACGCGCCTATTAGAGGTATTTCTCATTTGTGTCCTTAAAACTTGGGAGGATATGTGCTTTCGATACGCGTCCTTGCTTCTGTTCTCTGGGTTCA